TTTTCCCACATAAACCTCATGAAAGGACCATTATAGTCCATTACAAATGGGCTCACCATAGATAACCAATGAACTCCCAAAACCACATCAGTACCAGATAACTGCAATGGATATAAATCAACAGGGAATTGATGCTGGGCCAAGGAAAGAGATACCTGAGGACAAAAAGTGGAGCATGGCAAAAAATCACCATTGCCAACCATGACCTTAAGTGGGCTTGCAGTCGGTTCCATTGCCAGTTGAAGAAAATGAGCCACTCTGGTCTGGATAAAGTTGTGGGTTGCTCCACTATCCACCAAGATCTGAACCTTATACCCCTTAATTGCCCCTGTAATCCGGAAGGTGCGAGGTGTCCACTGAATATATATATATATATATATATATATGCTTCAACAATATTTTGAACATGAATTTTTGTTTCTTTGCACACTATGGATCTAAAGTTATAAGGAAAAAACCTATTATATTTCTCATCATCAATAATCTATATCATACCTAAATATTATTTGAAAAACCAACAAGTTTAGAGTTGTAGCGATTGTACTAAATTCCATAAATTATTATCCTTTATATCTCATGAATCTTCTGACAACTTAACATGTACTTTACAAGCACAATTCATAAACCTTGAAAATAAGTTTACAACACTATGTTAAGTATAATGGTTGTTAGATAGATCAAGTAATCAATCTAGCCCCTGCATTGATTTTCATCCATCTTTTGAGTTACACCTTCTTTGTTAAATTTTTCTTTTTTATTCATTCTGTGTTAATAATAGGCTTGGCTCAAGCACAAGGCCAACAAAACCTTGCTTTAGACCCCTTCAAAAAAAAATATTTTACATTAATATTTATATAATTTTTCAAGATTTATAACTTAAAACTCACTTTTTGTATTCTTAAAAGTTCATTCTAAAAGATCCATATCTAAAAAAATAAACAAATATAATAATTATTTTATAAGGCTTGTGTCTAAAATATTTATATTTTTTTATCAAGATATTATTAATTTAAAAGAATACCTCACGTTAATATTTTCTTTAAGCCTAACAAAATGTTAAGTTAACCTTGGTTAGTGACATTGCAATCTTCCATGTGAAAATTTGTAAGGGTTTCATTGCATATTACCTTTGATTTATTAAAACTCCATTATGAACTTGCTTCACCTGTATGCCTAAAATGTAAGAATGATGACTGTTATACTTTTCATTTTGTGCCACCTTACTTTAATAGGACATGATATCTGTAACAACCCATTTTTCGTGGGCCAAAGGCCCAATTCGTGGCCCAGAACGGGCCGTTTCAATTTTGAAACGGGCCGTTCTGGAATAGTGAGTATGGCCAAAATTGTAGAAGCAGAACGGGCCGTTCTGATGGGAGAACGGGCCGTTATGGTTTGGAGAACGGGACGTTCTGGAAGCAAGGTTCAGATCT